ACCACGGTCATGTTGAATGAGTGCTCTGAGACAAACAGTGGCTGCTAATGCTTGGCAGTCCTTCGTTTCATCATCAACCGATTCAAAGTATTCTTGCACAGACAAGTGCGCATACCGGACAGAATCTCCTTCAATTACCACCAAATTCTGGCAGGGGTTGATTATGCTTTCAGGATCTTGCATTTAGTCTGCTAGATCCGTACCATTTTCCTGATCGGCACTGATACTTACTGCAGCGACCAAAACGGATTTCTTGCATGTTCCTCCAACTGCCCGTAACCAAGTAAATATGCGTAGCGCATTTTCACCATTTGGTACTTCGGTTTTGATTAGGTCTAGCAAGCCTTTGTATGCATCCTTGAGATCCTTTGGTAGCTGGTCGAGAACATTCAGGATGTCAGCTTTGCTTTTCTGGGACAGGATGTATGCAATATGCATGGCAGCCCATTGAAACCTGTTTCCGGTCAGTTAAAGCTGAATAAATTGCACTTGATACTTACATTCCCTCACTCTTCTGTGAGAATTGGTTTATGATAGTGTCTTCTAGTTCTCGTACAGCACTCTTGATTGTATCACCATTGTCTCTGGATTTCACAAAGGACGCAATTCGTTACCGTACAAACCCTTCGATGTCATCTTTGTTATCAATTGATGTCACCGTGATTGCGGGGTAATTTTCGAGTCGCCGACTTATCACGCTCTGATCTCGGCTAGAAATGACCATCTTCAGGTTATGGCATGACTTGAGTAATTTCTTGAAGATCTTGAGCAGGTCCTTCTTAGATTCTGGTAAGCATTCATCCAGCGCATCCAAGAAGATAACCACATTGTCATTCATCTTGATGACTTCATTGAGTAGGGGCTTCGTGTCATTGATGTAAACAGTCTGAGACGCGACGCCTGCTTTCCCCTTTGTGTTGTATAAATCCATAATACTTTTGGGAAGCGGATCGCAAGATGCTGCCAGCTGCCGGACAAGGCTTCTCAAAATTGTGACACTTTCCCTGCGAGACTCCTCGTATTGACGGCAGTAGAAATGCGCGATTCGGTCTGTTGCACCTCGCTGGATTTCTCCAGTGACATTTCCACTATCGACTTCCTTTTTGAATTCCTCGACAAGGACACTCATGACTTTTGTTTTCCCCGCGCCAGCTAAAGGGTGGATTTAGTTCCAGGTCTTGGGAATCACGGGTGTCAAACTTACAGATGCCATTGAGCCATAGGATGCGTTTACTTTTCGACGCTTCCCATGACTTGAACGCGTCTCTCCGAAAGATCCATTTTCCCGTTTCCTTGGCAAGATCCTGTCTTGAAATGTGCTCCTGATCATCGTAGGAAAATATGGATAGCCAACTCAGTACTCTTTGACGCTGTCGTCTACGTTCTCGGCCAGCTTGGCTAGTGCTTTTAGCTTGCTCTGTGGTTCAGAATTAGGTTCCAGTAGTTTGTCAGGAAACGAGCAATGATATTTCGTGTTCTTAATGGCAAATTGTTAATGATATTGTTCAAGGTACGAGCTGAGCGGGGGTAAAAAATTAGTCCGGGGTCAGATGAGGTCAGTCTGAGGTCAAATATTGTCAGGATCGGATTTCTAATCCGAGCTGCGCCTCGACAATTTTTTTTTTAAAAAAAAATCTCGGTTAAGCTTGAAGTTTCTGTTAGCTATATGTTTCGAGAATTTGTGGAACAAAGGATTAAGGGAGTAAGTTCAAATTTTCTGATAGCTGGAAAAAATAAAAGACAAGGGCAAAGGGCACCAGGATGCACAAAAGTGCTCCACCATAGATAAACGCCATTAAAAAAAAGGCCATAAAAAAACGCCATGAAAAAATCTCCATAAAATAATCACGATAGAAAGAAGGCGAAAGATCCCATAAATTCGAATGCAAAAATCCATCAAGGCCCAAAAAACCCAAAAAAACTAGTAGCCATTTTCGCGAGTTGCTGTTCATTGTATGAGAACTCGGTATTCACATTGACTGTAGAGGGGAGGGGAGGAAGAGCATCAAAGATGAGAGCTACAGGAATGATCAACGGGGCCCCGGTCACTTGAATGTTTCCTTGCGCGATGTAGTGTAGGGTCAGCTTTTGCATGCACTGTGCCCTGTGGACGGGATCTGGCATCCTTGCGGAAATAGAGCGAGTGATAATATTTGGCTGTGTGGGGGCGAGCTGCCATCGTTGGATATGGATTTTCTTTTCATCTTCTTCCACAAGGACCAGAATCACAATACGTGTGAGACCATGAGATGTTTCGAGCCAAATTTTGGCGTCCGTTTTCAGTCTGTTTTCAGTCTCGCTAACACCTATTTCGACCACTAGAGAGGGATAATCATTCCCTGCACGACCGATGGGGACCCAACTCTCGTCAGGCTCCTTGGAGATGCTGCTTTCCATCTTTCGCCGTCCTGCTCCTGAGGCTGACAGCATCTGGTCGATTCCAAGTGCCTGGGATTTGTTTTCGATCATAGAATAAATAAGACGAGATAGACGCTCGTGGGGCACTCCCGCAAGTTTAACAATCAAGTCGCTGCTGGCCTCAAAATAGGTTGCCCGTAGAGAGGGGAGATCACGCACAATTTTGGACCTATAGTCCAGAGCTGCTAGTTGGATAGATGACACATCACGGATCAGAAGATACTGATCACCGTGGGCTTTTTCGAACTGGGCGAATTTTTCGTTGATCCATCTGGTAACCTGTTTGATATCCGTGTACTGATATCTGTTCTGTGGAGGAATAAGATAACTGTTGGCTGTGATAATACTGCTGGAGTTAGACATAGCGAGATTTGTGGATTTTGAGCTCTCCTTGCTAAAAGTTTCCGTCTTGGTGGTGGTCGTGCAGCTTCTAGTGCACTTAGTCAGCTCTCACTAAGTCCCGACATAGTTAACGTTAGGTTTGACATCAGGGAACAAGACATGAAGCCAACTTACTACTTTTGAGAATATGATAATGATCATAGTTGCTATGAATTGGAGACTAGTGTGCGAACGAGATCTGGCAGTCTCAGTGCAGCTACCACGACATGGGCTTGAGAATTTTGAAGAGAGCATGATCAAGGAGGCTTTGATTGACGACTGCTACCAGAAGAGAAGCATTCACCGCAAATGGGACTAGACATAGAACTCCGACGCAGTGACTAGATTCGACAAAGATACTCCTCGAGCAGGAAGCTTCCGCCAACTCGCGCATTCGTTGACAAGACAAATCTACAACAAAGAGCCTCACTAGAAAGGCCAAGAACCCCAGTCGATCATCGTGGTGCGTCATGGCGGGGAGCCTGATCATCCATGCAACTAACTCCAATACGCAGGCTTAGAAATAGGACCACCTCCGCATCTGATACCCGTCCTAAGATCATCATCGGATATTAGGCCGCATCAGACCGAATCTCCGAAGGATCACGGACACCGAGACGTCCACCGCAATTAACTCCGTAGCATTACCTATTTATCCCCCCCCCCCCCCCCCCC